TTCCGGACGCATCCTGTAGTGATCACCGCTTGATCGTGTACGAATTCATACCAAGGGTTGCACAGGATCCACAAAAGGCTCCCTATAATTTTAGATATAAAACTAAAGGTGCGAACTGGGCTTTGTTTGGTTCACTCTTTGCAACTCATACCAAAGACTTCAGTCGCAGTAGTTTATCAGCTGAGGAAAGCGCAGAAATACTATCAGAAACTTTTACATACTGCGCTGATGTAACTATTGGTCGCGGATCTATCACTAACACTCGTAGATGTGATTGGTGGAATGATAGATTAGCCGAACTACGTAGAGGCTACCGGAAAGCTCGTAGAAAATTAAACACTATTAAAAAACATAACGTAACAGGAGATTTGTACAACAATGCTCTCATTGCTCTTAGAGTTGCCAGGTCCCACTACAGAGCTGCTGTGGAAAAATCCAAGGGAAACTTAATTCAGAAACTTGTTGATAAACTCGATAGAGAGGGCCCGTGGTCACCTTTGTATCACGAATTTAAAGCAAATAGATCAATCGACCTTGCATACATACAGAACATCAAAATTAATAACAGATATACCACAGGAGTAGAACAAACAGCAGAATATCTTTTAGACTCACTCGTACCTGACGATCGACCGGAGAACGACACTGATCATCACCGACAGATCAGGCAGTGGGCCATCGAACCACCACTATCTCCAATGTCTGATTTACCATCTTCAGACGAATTTCTCGGTATCATTAGATCCTTGCCGCTAAACAAGGCTTCGGGCGATGATAAAATATCTAACAAAATGATAAAAGAAGCTTGTAAACTTTCGGGTGACACGATTTTCACTGTCTTTAAACGTTGCATTGCTGAAGGAATATTTCCTCGTATATGGCGGTGCGGTAATATTCGTATAATACCAAAAAGTGGCGACAAGCCACCGGATGATCCTAAATCCTACCGACCAATCACATTGTTACCATCGTTGGGAAAGCTTTTAGAACGTCTTGTAGTGCCCCGGCTTCTGCCAGGTGGAGTCAAATTTCATGATAGACAATTTGGATTTACGTTGGGTAAATCGACAACTGACGCTGTTATATCGGTTAGAAAGTTTGTCACAGGGTCAAAATTTCAATACGTGCTGGCTATTTTCTTAGATATATCTGGCGCCTTCGACAACGCATGGTGGCCCATGCTGTTGCTGAAATTAAAATCACGGGGGTGCTTTAAAAATATTTATTCCCTTATCTCTTCGTACTTTTCACAAGGTACAACTAAACTAAGACTTGGTCATCATTCTGTGTCGAAGGCGCTTACAATGGGATGTCCTCAGGGATCGGTGCTGGGTCCATACTTGTGGAATATCGGCTTCGACGATTTTCTTGCGATACCAATACCATCCGGATGTACTCTGAACGCGTATGCTGATGACGGCTTATTACTGGTGGAATCTGATACTAGGGCGGGGCTTGAGAGATTAGCCAATAGATGTTTGAACTTGATATCTCAATGGGGTGAACGTAATCGCTTAACTTTTGCACCCAACAAAACCTTCCAGCTACTTTTAAAAGGTAACCTCAAATCACCGCCGAGCATTAGATTTAACAATGTTACTGTAAAAAATAAAACCACAGTGTGTTGTCTAGGATTAGTTTTAGAAAGAAACTTTTCATTTATCGAACATATTAAAATAGTTAATGAAAAGTCTAAAAAGAGTTTCTGTGCATTGACAAGGATATCAACTGCGACATGGGGTCTATCATTTAATACATTAAAGATCATATACGGAGCTACTTATTTAGGTTCTATGTGCTATGGTGCACCTGTATGGGCCGATAGGGCGACCGTAGGCGCTGTCCGTCGCAAACTGTTACAAGGCCAACGACTTGCACTGATATTCTTGTGTAAGGCATATAGGACGGTTAGCACTGAGGCTTTGCCGGTGTTGGCGGGTGTGCTTCCGGTCGATCTCGAGGTGCAGAGACGTGCAGCCATGTACTATTCAAGACAACAAAACATGGAATGCGATTTTTTGGGCGCGCGGGATCGCGGTAAAATTACAAGATTGCTTCAACAGCAGCCCGATGTCTATAACGACCTCATAGACGAATGGCAACAACGCTGGGATGAATCATCCAAGGGGCGCCATCTTTACCAATTCTTTCCATCTGTTCGCGAACGGTTGTCGAGGATATGGCTTGAGGTGGATCACTGTGTCGCTCAATTTCTTACGGGTCATGGTAACTTTAAGAGCAAGCTTTATTCATTTAAATTAGTCGAGTCACCATTGTGTCAATGCTCAACACCTAACTCTCACTATGAACAGTCTGCTCATCATATCCTCTGGGAATGTAGTCTTTGGTATAATGAACGTAATATAATGCTGAATAGCTTGCAGGTGACATCTGGGGCGGTATACTATGGGGATCTTGTGTCAACTAGGGTGAATTTCCGTGCGTTTAGGCGATTCTGCCATACATATTATAGAAATCAAACATAGCTTACGTAGGACCCGTAATATTTGTGGCCGTGGTGCTTCCCTGTTTAAAAGGGTGTATGCCCATTTTTTACTTCATTTTGTCTCCCGCTTTGCTAAGGAGGGAAGTGGATTTACTGTATTTCCAACTCCTCCAATTTTCTTCTGATTAATTTCGTTGCGGGTTCCAAGACAGTTTAATTTCTTCCTGGGACTTCCCGAGTGTCATAACTCGGTGTGTTCGTGGGTCACTGCTGTGGATCCTGGTGTACAGGAGTTACAGTGGTGGGCGTGTGGGTGGGATTAGTCCCAATTCTCCACTTTCTGTAGTCAACTTTGTCAGGTGGCTTCTTCCAAGAGATTGTACGAACACTTTTGACCCCCGATTTTGCTCGATCGCTCTTTCAATTGAAAGAGTATTGGAGCACCGGAGGTCGTGTCGTACGAGTTTACTGATCTCTCGGTTTAGAGTCCGCTTTGCCGACAAAGTGACAGGTGGGTTTTCACGTCGTTTCTTCATCAGCCCTAGGGACCTTTCTGAAAGCTTCGACTTCCTGCCCTTACGCTGCATTTCACAAAATCTCATACCTTCTTCCCTGAGGATCTGAACCACATTTTTGAGGTTCTGGTTTACGTCGATTGTGGTTTCCACGGCAGCGAATCGGTTTTCCAGTTTTGACTGGAACGTTTCAGATCCTGTCATGGCTTGGAGCCGAGTTGGTCGGAGCCTGGATTTCATCAAACAGACACGTTCCGCCTTAAAGTTGATATTCAGAGAGCCCCGGACAAGTCGGTGATCACTACCGGTATTAAACCTATTGATCACTGAGACGTCTCTGAATATGTGCTTTCTATCCGTCATGATGAAATCGATCTCATTTCTAGTCATAGCGTCGGGGCTTTGCCACGTCCACTTCCTTTGGGGCTGTTTCTTGAAGAAAGAATTCATCAAAAACAGCCCCTCCCGTTCGAGGAAGTTGGCCAGCATTTGCCCCCTATGATTCCTGCTTCCAAATCCATGGGATCCTACTACCGATTCGCCGCAATTCTGTACTCCCACTTTAGCGTTGAAGTCACCCATAACAACCCCTCCCATGCAGACGCAACAAAGGCGTTTTATGTGGCATTTAATAAATACATCTGGCATGCAAAATACACTTAAGAAGTCTTCATGTCGTTTTAAATTGAAGCATTTCGGTATTGATTCACTCGAAAAGCGTAGGAAAGTACTAGACCTTATATTCTTTTACAAAATTGTAACGAATAAAATTGACTGCCCAATGCTTCTTAGTAAAATTAAACTACGAGTTCCAACGAGATATCCACGTTCAAGAATCACTCCTTTCTGCCCACCCCTACGAAGAACTGTTTTAGGATCAAATTCTCCAATTTGTCGTCTAACTAGGCTTGCTAATGAGTACAGCGGCTCGTTGGATATATTCAATGATTCTTTGTGTCATTTCCGAAAATGTATTAACTCCGTAATTGACAATTAATCTAACATTGAACTGGTGAACACAATAAACATTCTTCTTTTGTATATGTTAGTAACGTTGAACTTTTATAGTTTCGCGCGCCAAGATGATATACATATATAACTAGGTCTAAGGGCGGGAGTTAGCGCGATCGCGTAGTTGATGTTGCATGCCTCTGTCTCTGTCGGAGTGCCGGGCGGTCCGGTGTGTGTGGTGCCCTCGGATAATGCCAACAACCTTGTTTGTATGATTTGAGGTGGTGCCTGTTGCGAGGTCGCTTTGATTCCCGCTCGTATGTTTTCGGATTTTAATGTTTCCTGTTTTCATTTATTAACACTATGCATGTTGTGTTTGCTTAAATTGGTTGTACACTAGCCAATTCTACCACATGTAATTTATTATTATTAAGTAACAATGTTACGACTGGAAGCAAACCATAAATAAATAAATAAATACTATTGCAATGTCATTTTACGAATAGAAAGTATATTCATATTTACCATGGAACAATATCATAACGAACGATTACTACAGCAACACCGATTTGTGATTACAGTCGAACACTATCGTAAAGTTAGTTTGCGTTAATTTTTTCCATAGCTTATTTCAGTAATGGATATTTTCACAATTTTACTTACTAATAGAGAAAATTTATGATAAAAATTTAGTAAAAATCTAGTGCAAAAAAATATTCCCTATTTTTGATAAAATAATCTTCTTTTTAGTCTTGATAGTATTCAAGATATTCAGTTTTTATTTGCTCCTGTAAAATTGTCATTTTCCTATTACGATTTAGTTCGTCGGGGACTGCGACATGTGCTGATAGGCAATAAGCTCTGTGATGACCTTTCACTTAGTTATCGGTTATTCTCCAACGAACCGTAAACAATAGTAACAACGTCAACAAATCACTATGCCCCATGCAGTTAAATAAATGCAGTGTTTGCACAACACCCATGAATGAAATGATGATGCTATGATATGTTTATTGATAAAAAAATTGTATTATAAAAGTTATTAGCGATAAGTGCTCGGGCGGACGCCGTGCGTAACGGACAATGAGATGTATGTTGTGAGTGAAAGAGTAGAAATTAGCTTAGCAGACAGGGACGGCGAGACAAATAATCGAATGGATGCACCTGCGGTAGATAACACTGAGGAATACAAATGTACAGATGAGAAAGAAAGTAAATAGAAAATATGAAAAGAGAACACACGAAGATTCCTCATCAAAGGAAGGGTGGCACCAGGTTTCTAGGAGGAATAAAATTATTAAATATATTTATAGTATAATGATTAAACAGGATAATGTTCAACTTTGCGTCTAATGTATTTAAAGATAGTAAAATCGAGGGTAGTACACGAGGGTAGTAAAGTATATAACACGAGCTTAACGCCGATTATTTCATCGGGAGGATTCAGAAAACTTCTGCGGTAGGAATATCCTATGGTGTTATTAAGGATATTGACCTAAACATGACGGAGGAGGAAATGCTTAAAAAACCTAACGTGTAATTTAGAAATAATGGCAGCAAGAAGATTAAATAAAAATATTCATAACAAAGATTCGACAACAGGGTGGAGTAAATGTAAGGCAATTTGCCTTTTATTTAAAGGACCTTCTCTTCCTGGATATGTGTATATTTACGATATGAGTGTGATTGTGGTCCCATATATCTTTGCCGTGTTACAATGTTCACATTGCTGGAAATATGGTCACACCAGGTTAGTGTGTCTATCGAAAAATATAGTTTGTCCTAAATGTACAAAACTGGAATGATTGCCTAGGCAGCGATCATCTTATTTCTAAATTATCCGTTACCTTAAACGTCAGTCGTACAACAATTACAAAAAGGAATTATAAAATGAGCGATTGGAAATCTTATAGTGCATATATAGAAAATTCATTTATCGATTTTATAATACCTACCAATCCCCAAGCATTTTAAAAACTTACCTCAACATGCGTGCAATAAATTTAACCCTACGCCATACTGGAATGCTGAACTATCGAAAGCTGTTGCTGAAAGACGTTTGGCATAAGCCAATCTTAGACAAAGCCCTTCTCCTGTTAACTTAGAAATATTACAACACTAAATACGTAATGCCCAGAGACTTATTCCGTTGGTGAAATGTAGGTCTTAATGTAGGTTTTAATTTTTTACTTTACTACGCATTTTAAGCTTTACTAAAGATAGGGCATTGAATTTATTGAATTCCTTAACTCCTGATCATGCTTGTCCACCCCAACCTCGTTTTTATTCGGTTAATAGTACCCTAGAATCGGAAGCAACTATTCATGAGTTAGAAAATTCTATTAAAAAAACTGATACAGCACCTGCCAAGGATGAAATATCTTTCTCCATGATAGAACATCTACCTACAATATCTTAAACTATATTAGTTAAATTGTAAAATATCGTTTTGCATTCTGGGTTCGTTCCCGTACAATGGCGCCAAGTTAAGATAATTCCAATTCCTAAGCCTGGCACAGTACCTAATTCAGATCATTCACTACCAATACCAATACCAATTTCGTTAATTTCATGAATGTGTAAAATTTTTCATGTTACATATATTAAACAAAAGATTAGAGTGGTATTTCGAGAGTAAAAAGATGTTTTCGGATAACATGGTAGGCTTTCGAACGGCTCGATCAGGCTTTGAAAGTCTATCTATATTGGTTTCTCATATTCAAATTGGCTTTTCTAAGAATTTGCTGACAGCAACTTGTTTTATCGACATTGAGAACGTATATAATAACAAATATTACTTGTTTGTTAAACCTTAAAAACCTTAGATAAATTAGGCGTGAGCTCAAGGATCTCTTTGTACCTCTCGACCTATTTAAGTAATAGACAATTAGGATTTAGGTTTAAGTATACAATAATGTAGTTTTAAGTCATGGATACTCATGTCGTATTGATTGCTGTCCACATGGGACAATGTAGTCGCTCAGTGACAAAGTCCTTTTAATGACAATAAAAACCCATGAATGAGTTGTGAGTATAGGTGGAAATAAAAGTTTCGCTTTATCGGACACTACCCGTTACCCGCAGTTTCACTTGCATTTATTGTCACTTTTCAGCTTCTAAGGGCAGTAGCATGATTAATAAACAATTACAAAAATCGCATCAGCTTTATTACATTAGTGTAAGTGTGTTAAGAAAGTATACAACTGAGCTGAATTAAGGTTAAACGGAGCTAAACTTAGCTAAACGGCTACGATTGTATTAAGCAGTACGAGTATATTAAGTAGTTTTTAATTATCGCCCTTGTCTTGTAGACGACCGCCATTTCATTGTCCAATGCACCCGCTGCTTCTGACTAAATTATACCAGTAGCTCTTTTACGGCGCTCAGATTGTCTGGTTTGGGTGCACAATTTACATTTCATCGCCAGTCCTCTAGAACCAGAGAATACTAGACTAGATAACCTAACCGAAACTTCCTTGCCTGCCTGCCTTTTCCATACACCAATTTACACCTTTGGAGCCCAAATACCAATGGGAAAGGGGAGTAAGTAAAGTTAACGAACAGTGAGTACTGCAGTAGTGTGGTGTCGCGTGTAGTGCACTACGGTGCACGCCGGGGTGAGTGAGTGTTTCACAGCGTCATGTAAACAATCAGAAATCGCAGTGAACTTGAACTAGACAAGTGTCATGCCACATTGATGTGTGTAAATGTGTGTTATTACGTCCAGCGGCCGGGTGCACTGAGATGAGGTGGCGCGGAGAGGCGCGCGCGCCCCACGCACACCTCAGGTGCAGCCGCGAGCGCGCTCCCGCCGCCTACATCGATTGTATAGTGCAGTTACGTGATAACAAACCATAATCACTTGTGAACTTTCTTGGTGAGTTCATCATTACTTTAATGCATTTGTTTTTTCTATGATATCACGGTGTGGAATATCGGATTACGGTAAAACTCGATGATGTCTGTTCATGTGTAGCATGCAAATTTATCAAATATAAAATGATTTTTTTTTAAATTCGGATCGCATGGTCATATACAATTATAAAAAAATCTGCGTTTTCTACATAAATGTTTATTAAATATAACACGCAATAATAATTTAAGCAAAAGGCCAAAACTTGCTTTCTAAGGAGAGGCTTAAAAAAATAGACGACACACACTAGCACGAACTGCACTGCATAGCACACAGCAACGATAAGTGTATCAAACAAAAACGGTGATCTTATGTGGGATCGAATCCACATCTGATGCCAAACGGTGTTCAATATCGAACTCTTAATGGTGGCACTGGGTCACTCACTCGTCAAGAGGTATAGCGTTAACGAATTAATGCGTGTTCTAATTATTATCTAATTAGTTAACAAGCAAAATGTTCTAGCGACCGCATTTATATTGGAAGTATATACAATCAATTACAATGACTTTGCAATGCACACGTCATATTATCTACCCACAATACTTTTTAATAAAAATAAATTCAATGGCGCAAACCGTGATGATGATACAGACCATTTAAATATTTAAGACATAAATATATGAAATTTTAATACGATCACTAGGCAATGTTTTAGTCACTAATTTTGGTAACAATTTGATCTCACCACATTTAGCGATAAAAATCTGGCGTTGCGAAGTGAAATCCAATACCTAAGTTACACATAATGGTTTTGATAGTATTTCTTCCTTCTCCGTATACATACATATGTAGGTAAAGAAAAGGGTAGTTGCAGGTGATTAGTATAATCTGTGGGCGCAATAGGTCGCTTACACTGCCTATTTCCAGGAAGTAGGTATATGTAGGCTCTATCTATACATTGAGGCAGCGTAAATGACGAACAATTGTGTAAAGTTGGTAAACATAATTGCAAATCTTTGATATAGTATTAGAACGTTATTGCCCTACTTCACTACAATAGAAGCGTCTGAAAATGTAATTCATAGGAAAGTAATTCTAGTAAATAGCGACGTTTTATGAAACTATCGTTTGTTAGTAAACTCGAGGAAAAGAAAGAGAAACATTATAAGCTTAGTTGATTATTTGAATTTCGCAATCAGTCTAGTGTTTCTTTCGTTCTTTCAAGTAATGGAAATACTGTTTAATAAAATATCATTATATGGTACTAAAAAATGTAGTTTGTTGTACATTTTTAAATGCATTATAATTATTTACGTATTTGATAATCCTGTAGTTGAATATAAGAAAGTAAATAATTATGTAAAATAAAAATATAGAAACCAATACTATTTTTTTTTCTGAGGCTTGCAAAAAATAAAATTGTTTTACTCAACGATTCCAAATATTAATTTGTATGGAGACCTGCCATTGTTCTTGGAGGTTCATTGGTGAGCGAGTAAGTTTTTTTAATGAAAGCGACTACCGACTAGGAGTCACAAGAGCGTTGCCAGCCTTTGAGGAAGGAGTACGCTCTTTTCTTGAAGGTTTAAAGAAAAAGAAAAGACTATTGAAAACTCTGGAAATCTGTTCATCTGGTTTTCATCCCGTTTCAATAAGAGAAATGATACTGACACGAACAATGATACTGATCACTTTACTAATACTTTGAATGTGAATTTGAGTAGTTGTTTGTTCTTCAATCATGGATTCGTCATGGCAGAACATCTGAACGGATCGGGATGGAATCTGACATAGGGATAGATTATAGTCTGGAATAGCACATGGGCTACGTTTCATTCCCTGATGTCACGTAATATATCACCTGATGGTGAGTGACTTCCGCCCCCCCCCCCCCTCCCCCCGGGACACCTGTAACTGAAAATATGCAAGTACCGCTGTTTGAGTGTCGTCTATATGGGCCTAAGCATAGCTCTTCCAAGTAATAGAGAAGACAGGGAGAAGACTAGAGGAAGGTTTTGTTAGAGAGCGTGGAACGTATTTTAGGCCTTAGGAATGTTTAGTGTGTCTGCCTGACTAACTCGTGGAACGGTTTAAAAACAGTCAGTTGTGACGCTGGCGCACAATCCGTGATGCGGTTCACACGGTCGTTTTTGGGTTTATCGCGTTCATACAGACAGGCGCGGTCGGGGAACTTCATTTTATAATATGTAAGAATTTATAGGCCCGTTCCGCTCCTGCCGGCCCTCCCACCCGGGATGAACGTACGACCCGACGCCGCGACGGCCGCTTTGACCCTGCATTTTAAATCCTTGATACTAAGACATTAATTTTAGTGATATGCTGTCATAGGCAATTTAATCTACCACAAATGCACATCGTATGTATGATAAGGAATAATACTGTATTGTTCAAAATAGCTTCGTAAATTACCCATTATTTTTTGTTATATGTAAAATATAAAAATGGGTACTGTGGGCTATCCTTAGGAGATAGACATCGCCAACTTTTTTGAAGATCTTTTTAAGATAAATAATTCCGTAGTACATTATTTTGATCTATCTCGTATGGTTGAGGCAACGTTCGCAATGAAGGCGCACAAATATGTTTTTTTACGACTTCACATTAAAAAAGTTTAAAATTCTTAGTTTTCATCTACTATAATTTGCATGTATGGTACATATAAACCCGCCTCTTTAAGCACTCTTTCTGTTGGTAAACACTTAATTAAAATCTGTTGCGTAGTTTGTAAGATCTAAACATACAAAAAAAAAAGCGCCTTCATTTTATACTGCGTAAAGTATTTATACGATGATATATCTCACTCGCCAGCCTTGCACATCATAGCAGCATAAATCAATATGAATTTGGCACTTCTCTAACGGCTTAGTCGTATCTTTTAATACAGAAATATTAAGAAATAATGTAGTGTAAATTAATAGTCAATCAATCAGTTTATCGCAGTTCACTGTTTACACGGTCCACTGCGATTCTACATACGTGTGCATGTATATACATATGTATATAGCTAGACGGGTGGGCTTATCGCCATATATACATGTATTATTATACGTTATCGACATACCACGCCTGTAATTATGTTCACAATCCGTCCTTTGGTCTCAACTCATTGAATTGTGTTAAAGGAATAAAATCAATTTATTTCAAGTGTACATTTTATAAACATTTAATTATAAATGTATTAAGACGATGCACGTTAAATGTATTTATATAGGCGTTCAAGTCGAGTGAGGCCCAGTTGGTAGTTAGTTATAAGATATGGTAGAGCTGGCGTAACATAATGAAATTGACAATAAAGGTTTGGTCTAAGAGTGGTTACCGACACAGTAGCACTATTCTTACAACTTATGGTCTGACTGACCTTATTGAATGTGTAACGTAACCGCAATCTCTCCAGCAATTTATATATTTTCCTCACTGACAATCACAACCTGCTTAGACATTGTGACGTCTTTCTCACAAGGTTTTCCTGACTACCTATTTTGCACGTGAAAGAAAACCCTTACGAACCTAACCACTGACAACTCTATAGTGTGTGATTGGACTGTAACTTGGTCGACTAACGAGGGACACAGTACGGGCTAAATATTACAGCGATTATCTATATTTGCGGATACACCATTAAAATTGTACAAATTTTTATTTTACCACTTTGTTGGCGTGATTATTACCATTACAGGTATTTAATATTAACAGTAGCTAAGCCAAGCCGCGGACAGACGGACTGACAAATGGACATGGCGAAACTATAAGGGTTCCTACTCGTGTTCGGAATCTTAAAAATAAATCCTTTAAAAAAAATTGAAGCGACTTCAAACAATACTGACCAAGAGCACTAAAAATTAAAAAATAATTACAAATCTAAGTTAAAAATCTATATTAAGTACTCTCAATATAAGAAGTAACATTATCATAGCTATAGTCCCTTCTAGTCTGTGTGAAGTTTTGTGTTTTCGAAGTCGGTTAATAATCCTCGACATACAGCAATAGTTTGTTAGTGTGCAGTTTGTTACAATACATGTGTGCACGAAATAACTAGTGCTTTACTGTGAAGCTGATCCGAAAAAGAAAGTCATTGTATATTGACTAGGGCCCTATTATGAAGGGCACAGAGGAAAAGTTGAGAAAGTGTTGTCGAGCCAATATTTGTATGTGGTGCGGTCGATGTTATTTGCTGACTGGTATGCTAAAGAAGATATCGAGTTTGTTTGTTAGCTTTCAACCTTTTCATCACTCAACCGATTATCATGAAAATGTGCGTGCCAGAGCAATAACAGTAGCCCTTTCATCCATAACACGATATTAAAAAAACCCCCGATACGAAAAAAACAGTATAAAGCCCAAACTTGGTACCTATGCTGTAATTTTCTGAGGAGTTAACTGTCAAGCAAACTACTTGATGCAACAGCAAGTTTCAGGTTACCATGTCTTGGAAATACTACCAAAGTAACAGTATACCAAATTTCAGATCAATCGGACCTGTGGATTTTAGTGAGATTCCTTCATCACCTAGGAAGTGAGCTAATGATCTTCTAAATTTATTGCTAAGAACCGTCTCGAACACATCGGCTTACGAACAAAAAAATCCGCATCGTAATTGGTTCATCCGTACGGAGCTATAATGCCATAGACAGGCAGACAAATACACAGGTTAAACTTATGACACCCCTCGTTGTGAGTCGGGGGTTAAAAGGAAGACGGTGTTGCCGGGGTAGGAATGTGAGCTAACACTAGTGGCATATACATTTATGTAATAATAGACCAATGCAGGAGTGTTCATTATAAGTCTTCAGTTATTGTGACTCGTGACTCGAAGTCGTACAATAGCCGCTAATTAGATACACCGATACACCTGGTATCAGTGACCTGCGATGGATAATAAAAGTAAACACTAGTTTATTTATTCACCGTCGCTTATCGCACAAATTAATGCTCTATTGACCCAGAACATATACAAGTATAGTAAGTGTAAGTACCATTTAAT